TTTTTGGCCAACTGTATGTCTTCTTGGGAAAGCTATTCAGATCCTCTGCTCATTTTTTAATTGGATTATTTGGGTTTGGGGGGGTTGCTATTTAGCTGTATGTGTTCTTTATATTTTTTTAATATTAACCCCTTGTCACATATATGATTTGCAAATATTTTCTCCCTATTAGTAGCTTGCCTTTCCATTTCGTTGATGGTTTCCTTTGCTGGCAGAAAGTTTGATATAATTCCTTTGTTTTTTGTTTGTTTTTGTTTTGTTTTGTTTGCTTTTGTTGCCTTTGCTTTTGGTGTCAAATCCAAAAAATCATCACCAAGACCAATGTCAAGGAGCTTACTATCTATGTTTTCTTCTACTACTTTTATGGTTTTAGGTCTTGCATTCAACTCTTTAATGTATTTTGATTTATTTTGGGGGTATGGTGTAAGGTAGAGGTCTACTTTCATTCTTTTGCATGTGACATCAGTTTTTCCAACACCATTTACTAAAGAGACTGTCCCTTACCCATTATGTTTCCTTGGCTCCTCTGTTGTAAACTAATTGACCAAATATGCATGGGTTTATTTCTGGACTGTCTATTCTGTTCCATTGATCTATGTATGTTTTTATACTCAGTACATTTGCTTTTTTTTTTACTTTGAAACACAGAGACAGCCAGAATTAATTCCAAAGCTACAAAGTTTCTTTTTATCTCCTATTCTTCTTTTCCCTTAGATATTCCACCACCAGAAGGCCAGGAAAATGTGAAAAATAAGTTTTATCAATCCTCCCTTTAAAAAGAATGAATTCCTTGACCTCTGTCCCAGCCACAGACACCAGATTATCTTTTTCCAGGCATATCTAGACTTTTTGTATCCACTGAAGTTTTCTACTTTCTCACCTCTCATAGGTCCTTCAATTCATTCCCATTTTAAGCTGCTCTTGTCAAGGTTTTCTTCAGCTTCTTTGATACTAAATTTAATGGATACTTCTTTGTCTTACCTAACCTCTCAGCAGCATTTGACACCACTGCTACTCTTTCATGAAATATTATTTTCCTTATGTTTGCTGTTACCTGACTTTTCTACTTTTTCCTCCTACATGTCTGATTGCGCCTCAGTCTCTTCAAGTGGACATCTCTCCCTCTGTCCATCCTTCAAATCTTCATGCTTGTTGGAACTCTGTCTTAGTCTTCCTTATCTTTCTACCTACATTCCTCCACTGGATGGTCTCCTCCACTCCTACGGCTTCAGAAATCAATTATATACTAATGACTCTCAAGTGGACCATGTCAAGTCTGAATATTCCTCATGGCTTTCAGAGATACTGTTTGTAACTAAACACTAGGTAACTCCATCAGTGTGCCCACAAATTCCTCATACTCAACATTTTGCTTTCCCCTCAAAACTAACTTTTCATCTATATTCCTTATCCCAGTGAAACATACCAAACCAGAGACCTGGGTATAATCCTTGACTCTCTGGGTCCCACATCCAATAAATAATCAAGTCTTATTGATTCTGTCAGAGATATACCTTAAATCTATCATCTAATTCTCTCCCCATTCTCACTGCCACTTCCACAGAAGTGGCATCTCTCTACTGCTAAGACAGTTCTCCTCAAGTCTAGATCTTATAATAGACCCAGGGCAATCTTTTCAAAATACAGATATAATCAAATTATCCTCTTCCTAAAGTCTGCAATGGTTTTACAAACTGCTATCCAAATAAAGCCCAAATTGCTCAACATTGTTTACAAGGCCCAACATCTGGTCTCCTACCCTGTATTTCAAATTATTATGTGTCAGCTAAATTAAACCTCTTTTAGTTCCTCCAACGAGCCATGATCACTTTTACTCTAGACATCTTCACATGATGTTTCCTCCCCTTGAAACATGACTATCCAATGTTATCAGTGTTATCCTGCTATCAGTAGTTCTTTTTCGGCCTATCAGTACTTCTTGACTAACAGACTCATTGGAAAAGACCCTGATGCTGGGAGGGATTGGGGGCAGGAGGAGAAGGGGACAACAGAGGATGAGATGGCTGGATGGCATCACCAACTCGATGGGCATGAGTTTGAGTAAACTCCGGGAGTTGGTGATGGACAGGGAGGCCTGGCGTGCTGCAATTCATGGGGTC